ATAAAAATATTCAAAAATGAACTGTCTAAGAACATCTCTAACAATAACATCACTATATATGAAAATCAGATTGGGCAGTAACAATGAAATGAAAAAGTGTAGACTTAAGAAGTTCCGAGACCAGCATTACATGCTGATTTGGAATTGTTTTTCAAATAGTGTCCGAAACATGTATGTACGAAATTGAAAATAATCAGATTGTGAACTATTTGAATAAAGCCTTTAAAAAAAAAAAAAAAAAAAAAAAATCAAGCTCTGTTGCTTTGACGTGAATGTCATGATATTTTCACGATTTATAAAGTTATCTGGCAGGAGAACACCCCGTGGAAAGTGCCTGGCAATTATATATTCTCTTTCATGATAGGATCCGATTGAACATAAAAAGATCATACCTTTTGTGGAAATGATGTTTTTGCCAGTTTTTTTTTCGTACTTCCAACACCCGGTATCTCCTGAAAGCCCATCCAGTACTGAAGATTTTTAACCCCCAAAACGATTCCACCGAATAAGATATAACACACATAGAAAATATCAACATTGTTGAAATGTTGTCTGGTGGTCGCTGGCTTTCAGTCTATAGAGAACGATTTCTGAAATTCAATTGCCTATTCTGAAATACAATTGATGCTTTCTGAAATTCAATTGACGCTTTCTGAAATTCAAATGATACTTTCTGAAATACAATTGACACTTTCTGAAATTCAATTGACTATTCTGAAATACAATTGATGCTTTCTGAAACTGAATTGATTATTCTGAAATACAATTGATGCTGTCTGAAATTGAATTGACTATTCTGAAATACAATTGATGCTTTCTGAAATGCAAGTGACTATTCTGAAATACATTTGACGCTTTCGGAAATTGAATTGACTATTCTGAAATACAATTGACGCTTTCTGAAATACAAATGACTATTCTGAAATTAAATTGACGCTTTCTGAAATACATCTGGAAAAGGTGTAGTTATTCAATAATGCATTAATTCCCAATTGAGTATTGGTAATAATCCTAATAAGCAATAAAAATTCAATTGTCTCGAAATATTCCCTTATGATTTGTGGCGTATTGCTTATAATACATTTTTGTAAATAATAATCATATTAGTTCACACTAGAGGACATTTGAATCGGTGAACGTGACAAAACGGCGCACGACTTGTGGGATTAGTCTTGTCAGTTCTCAGCATTCAGCACAATGTTGCCAAGTCTCCAACATTTGCATGATATTTTGTTATGGAGAATGCGAAATATTTGGACATGAGGGTTGCTAGAAAAAGTCAAGAATGAACTATAATATCGTGGGTTCCTCCTATTATGTTTTATTCAACGACGGGACTGTAACATCTTTTTGATAACTAGATATTAATTGGTGACTTGACAACCTTGCTTCATGAGTTAAAATGGAAGATTATCTGACCAAGATCGAAACAGCATAAAAACTGACGTCACCATTTATTCGACGTATCGCCAAATGGCAGTCATGAAGGTTCGTTTGAAATGAGCTCTGAAATTCAACAATTTCGAACAACGCATAGACTCATTATTCAGATAAAAAAGCGTGAGAAGTGTTGGAAAAATTAATTCAGGTTCCTAACGACACAGTGAATTAATTTAATGTCAATAATTTATTATCAGCCCACTCGCCCATTATTGTTAGACAAAAAAGATTATAATACAAAAAACTCAGATATTCTACATGCAATGCGCGAGACATTTACTTCGCGCACGGTGTCGTGGTAACGGGGGAAACTGAAAAAAAAAAAGAATCACTTCGCATATTGTTACCAATGCGCGAACCTTGTCATATTTTGACGTTTGTAGAAAAAAACCATTGGGGTAATTATCTGTTGAATGTATACAAGGTGTTTTTGAAATGAGTGCACATATTCTGCACATTAATATAACACAGTCAAAGGAATATTCCCATGATATCAGATTTTGTCTTATTCTTCTAATTAACGAGAAATTTCATCCCAAAGATTGAACGAAATATGAGAAAAAAATTAAGTACGCCATTTTAAAACAATTTGAATGATTGCACTCCGCGTGATTATGCCTACCGCATGGAAATTTGAACAGAGGTGACGTCAGATTTGCTACAGTGTAGAACTTTGGGTGGAAAAATAGGTCTAACCTCAAATTTTATTTTGATCCCTAAATTTTTTTTGTTAGTGCCATTCGATAATACACGTCGAGCTTTCTCAGTGTTTAAAATATTTGCACTTATTTCAATGCCACCCTGTATATGTTCCTACTACCGTTTATTGTACCATAATGACAATAAATTTCCGAACTTTTTGTAAATACTTAACGTCCATAGCAATGATGATGGCTTATTAGCCGAAATCGCTCTACGAATCAATAATAAAAATTTTATACGAAATACAAAATTTCTTCATTTGATTGATTAGTAACATGTATGCAGCTAGTACAAATCTTCACTTTCCATAAATACAAGGTATACAGGGTGTTTCCAAAAATGGAGCGATCCTTGAAATGGGGTGTTATACGAGGCATAATAACACAATGAATTGCAAACAAAACTTTCTTGAGGCAGTCCAAAATTTTCGAGAATTGTATGATTTTACTCACCATGGTTTGAGAACCTGACATAACTTTGCCTGAATGAACCTTCGTAATGACTATAATCTTCGAAAAATGCTGGAAAGGACAAAAGAGACAACTTTTTCTAAACAATTTGATTTAACCCGACCTAAATGAATCTTCTTCCTAGAAAATATATTCGGAAAATTACTTGAGAGAACAAGATTGAAAAAAGTTGAGCCACGTAAGGACTGAACCACGGACCGCAGGCGTGGAATGCTGACTTCAAATTCATTTATTTCATCTTCAACTCATACATGGACAATATCTATAATTGTTGTTGTTGGTGTTTGTTCTGTGATTAGAGTCAAGACTCCTTATGGCAAGACATTTCTCAGATGTACCCAGTTGGACAGGTACGAATACAGCCATAGAAAATCAATCAATCAATCAACTTCATGATCCCCAGGAAACAACATAAAATAAAAAGTAAACAGCCCCTTCAGAAGTCAGTTTGCCGCTCTGTGGCATATGCACCAGGAACAGCCATGCTTCAGCGTAAATAGATAGATAATCTTTATCGGTTCTTTGAAATCAAAGCCTAAAAATAGGCGTAGAACTCGTCAGTATATAGGGTGTTTCTTTAGTAAATGTAGAAAATTCAGAATCATGTTGCTGACGTCAAAATGAGAAGAAAAGTTTGTATTAAAATATGTATAAGTTATTCGTTTATGAGATAGAGGGTGTCAAAGTTGAATTCTTATTTTCGTTTTTCGTCAATACATTTCAAAATGATTGTGATATCCGATTGAAGTTCGGTGTCTAGGAATATTTTTCAATGCCAACATCAAATTGTATGTTAGTTTGTCTCTTCCGTTGGGGTGGCGCCTCCTACATGTCTTTTGAGTCTTTTGAAAAGCCAATTTGTTTGTGCGTACCTGTATCACTTCTCATAGTAGAAAAATTGATTTTTAGAAGACTTGTGTGAAAAATATATTCTTGGTAGAGGTCGTTGCGAGTTTTCGAGTTATTGGGATTTGAAATAATCGATGTAACTGACTTATTTCCATGGGGCTCGTTAGTCGCCTTTAGAAGTGAATATCAGAAGAAATACGCCAGTGCATTTTCCTTCTTTCATTCAATATTCCCCTACAGATGGATTGGCCGAGGAGCTGAAGTTCCAAATCAGTTCTGACCTCCGAGGTCCCTGGATTCAAATCCAATTGATCAACTTCGTCAACGGATCATTGCTGAATGTGACGCTATACGAATTGAGCACTTGGTATAATGGAACGTGTACGTGGGTCTATGAGACGTAGAGCAGACGCATGCATAATGATGCAAGGTAGCCACTTTGAACTACTGTAATCAATTGCCTCAACCAACTGATTTGGTCCTAATTACTGTTGTTATTATTATTAGTATCAAATTGAAATAACACCCGATTCCTATTTTGAAATGGAATTGAAGAAAAATAATGTCCCTTACCTGATAAATCAATTTTGAATTCCAACTTCTTGTCATTCCAAATAACTTGCATTGATTATTTCAAATCCCAATAACTCGAAAATAGTTGCTCGCAGCGACCTCTACCAGGAATATACTTTTTACACAAAAGTGGTCAAGAAATCTATTTTTCTACTATGAAACGTGATACAGGTACGCACAAAGAAGTTATGACTTTTCAAAAGACTCAAAAGACATGTAGGTGGCGTCACCCCTACGAAAGAGAAAAACTAACATGAAATTTGATATTGTCATTAAAAAATACACCTAGATACCAAATTTCATTCGAATATCACAATTATTTAGGAATTTATTAACAAAAAACAAAAATAAGAATTCAACTTCGACACGCTGTATCTCAGAAACGAATAACTTTCGGACATATATTTATACGAACTTTTCTCCTCATTTATGACGTCAGCAACATGCTCCTAAATCTTTTACACGTATTTAAGAGACCCTCTGTATAATATGTAGGCACACAAAAAATAACAAAATAATATAAAATGATGATGTTACAAAGAATGAAAAAAAAAAGATAATAGAATGTCTACAAATTATCATGAAATTTTCAGTTTTTGTGTTGTGAATTCTTCTGATCGTCTGGGCGTTGTGTCACTTGATGAACGTTTGAACAAAGGATTTAATCTTGACGGTGCTCCCCGATGGATTGCAAATGTATGTCGTCGCACCCCGATGTTTAGACAAAGGTTTTATTCGTTGGGGCGGTGTATGAGAATGCGTGCATCACGCCCTAATTGATAGCAGATAGTCTTGATTATCTTCCATTTAATCGAATATTGGATTTGTTGATTTGTTTCATTATTCTCGTCTCCATAAACATGTTTCTAGGGAGCAATAAATGTTGTTATTATTATTACTCATTTCTGTTTTTTTTTCTCAGTATTGGGACTTCATCAAACCCCGCATCAGCACCTCCCATTCCAGCTCATACAACATCGACTCCGCCAATTTCGAGGAGGACTCGAAGTTCATCAGAGACAAGAGCGCCTCTTGCAACGTTGGCCTCGATCTGAGCCCGAGGCCCACCACCGTCATCGGTCTGTCTCATTCCAGCAGCACGCACAGGAAGAACTCGAAAAAGGTATGGACTCCGTTTACTTTTTAATGTACATTTCAATACAGCCAGTAGCAAGCGTTATCACCCCTGATTTATATATACCGTAACGCACCTCAACGTTATAATCAACATTCCGCAATCAGTACCGTAAGACGATGAAATGAAGTTGGCATTTATAGATTGTAACGTTTTCATTTGCTAATATAACTTGCCTATATCAAACGTTACCTTTTTCATGGTATTTTCTACTAAAACACTAGAGAAACTCTGTAGATATACACTGTCGAATTTATAAACCTTTATTGATAAATTCAGTTGACATAGTTCAGAATTTAACATCTAATATTGAAGCGCCCTGTATATCACTTATCATCTTGTATCCAACAGAACGCTCACAGGTAGTAAACTGAAACAAAAAGGATTAATGAATTAGGCAGTACCTAATATAATATAACTAGAAAACAAACACAAACATATATTAATAAATTCTAGGTACTTGAATAAACCTTACCTTTCTCGTTTGAATACACAGTGTTGTCTTCTTCGAATACACACTGTTTTCTATAGTCTACTTGATTTCAAAGATGCAGGCACTGAAAATAAACAAGGTAACCATCAGAATGGAATTCAACCATATTATAAAAATCAAATATAGGTTTGATTAGAAAACTGCTTGCACCTACCTCTATTGTAAATAAATTGTACATATTGTAGAATCGAATGGGCCTGGGTATTTTTAAGTGATCCAATTATTTTCGTTTTGTTTTGAAATAAAATCATCCAATGTTTACGTCTTGGTTATAGTTTACCAATTCTTCCTTATTAGCCACTGTCACTCTTTTCTTGCTTCGATACATTCTTATTCTTCGTTCGCTATGACATCAATTTCCAATCAGCACGAGACCTTTTGGGTCTATTGTTATGTTCGTGAGTATCTAGCTCGAGGCGGAGCATAGTCGTATGGTTCAAGGTCTCATCACCAACAGCCTCAGTGTACAGGTGCAATTAGAAATACTGCTACGAGACATTTCATTCGTCGATAGTTTCGATCTTTGGTTCCAATTCCAACTTTTGATGTTCCGTGATATTGATGAATTTTGACAAGTTCAATGTCTGGGTCAAGTTCAATGTCAGGGTCAAGTTCTCTTTTCCGGAGAGGTCATTTTTGGGCCATTTTGCTGCTAGCTGTTTCACGTGTTGGCTCGTCAGGCTCCTGGGAGATCCTGAAATTTTGCATAGGCACCTAGCCTTATCTAGGAAAAATTATGTTTCGGCGTGATGGTAAGATTTCAAACTCTCTTTTTAATATCGTTATACAATATTTCAATCATATTCAGGATGGAAGTCTCCATTCGAGAATTTCTCGAAACACGTGCTTGAGGAAGTATATTTTTTTTTTAATGGACACCAATGCTGCTCAACCGGCCATCCTGGAAGTCACTCATCCATCAGTATTTTTGATTTGGTAAAACCCTCTATACCCCAGAGGTGAGTTATTTCATTTTATTCACGACGAGAGTTAACTCTCATTTTTTTTGAGACCAGGTTCTGATACCTACCTAAACCATTTTAGGGTTTTACCTATGGGCATATTCTTTACCATGTCCTGGGTTGAATCGTCTGATATGGCTGTGCAAGGGCCATCCAAATTCCTCATGTGGTAGGCTGACCACAGATCATCACCTTTCAAGCAGTCTCCAATTTTCAACGTTTTGCTGTCTCCAACTTCACCGTTTTGCTGTCTCCAAACTTCACCGTTTTGCAGTCTCCTAGTCTACTATAGTCTACAAGTTTCTACCAGTCTACTATCCCCTTCAGCTTTCTACCTGATGATGAACAAAACCATGACGTCATCATTGGATAATATCAGGTTTTTTTAGTGATAAGTTTTATCAAGTCAAAATAATCAAGGTACAAAGATATACTAGCTCATACCTACAACTCAGATTTTAAAAGTACACTTGAAATGTTCAAGCCCTATTTGAAATTTCCAATATCCTAAATACTAGCTTACAACAGGCAATTTTACAGTTTAACGTTTCCCCATAAAATTCATGAATTTTTAGGACATTTCCTTGAAGTTAACAAATATTCAATAACAACTAATATTCAAAGTGGGTTTCTTTTTAGAATTTGAACTAAACTGTCAATGAAGTAATTTCATCATATTAATAGGGTACCTATATCAACTTGAAACATATGAGTATCATATAAATAATATCTACCTCTTTGTACCTACTATTTGTAAATAATCTCATGACTGATTTTTCATTAAATTGTATATATACCTACTCCACAGATTTTTTACTTTCTACTGACATCTCTCTCTCAATCCATATATTACAGGTTTCTGTTTCTTCCTAGATGAACAACTATCTGAAAGAACCAGTGGCGTCCATTAAAATATAAATTTGACATTTTTTATATCAAATTGATAATCTTGGAACTTTTCTGTAAATTCAACTTTGTGATCTATCAGGATAGCAAATTCAAAAATCCACGCCCATATGCCGCCGATGAAAAGCTGCCGGCGCAGTGTAATTGTATAATATACGTTACAAGATTTTCCTGAATTTGACACTCGCCAATCTTGTCATATCAATTTGTATCATTATTTTTGTTCGGACTATCAAGCATCATTTCTGGAATTACTATTGTTTCAAAGCACTCGGATCAATCTGCTCAAGCTATTTCATTTCAACCAATGGATGATAACAACGATGATAACCTACATTATGAATATTTGGCAGTACTACAGCTGGGAGTTCTGTTATGTGCGGCAGCAATTGAGGCATTCGCAAAACACCAAAAAGCAACAAAATGGTATCTTATATGATCTCTCCTGAAGAACAGTTTTCATCAATTACTTCATGATCAATGAATGAAAAAAAAAAATGATTTACCAGATATATTATTTATATAATCTGTACAATATCCGTGCAATCTCCTTCCAACTAGTCTCCTTCATGGCATTGTAATTTTTGTAATAACTGTTTATCTTATATAAAATTAAATAATTTACTGATATTTAATCGGAACAGATACAGGATGGTTTAAGATTCAAAATTCGGATCATCCTGTATCTGTTCCGATTAAATATCAGTAAATAGTGAACCAAAAGTTGAGAAAGGGACATGTGAGCCGTTTTGGCTGATAATGAATAGTTTCGACAAAAACAAATCCTAAAGTTGAAAAATCTCGATTTTGAACACCCTATATCTCTGTAATCATTTTCGATAGACCCCAAGTATGATGTATCGATGAAATCAGCTCTCCAGGGAGAATCTAAAAATGCAATAAAATACAGGGTATTCTATTTGAAATAACAAAGTTGTTTCTACTTTTTGATAGAAGCGGCAACACTGCATTGCTGAAAATATTTTTAATGAAGAGAGCGTATTCTAAAATATAAGCATGCGTATTTTCATGGATTTCTCCTGACTGATTCTCGATATAGAGATAGTGTTAGCGCCTCTTGACATACCCTGTATATAAAATATGTAGGTAGGTGTACTCGAATTGAACATTGTCCTACTCCTCTATAATTTTGATTTCCATAAAATTTCCATACAAAGGCCTCTTCGTTTTGTATTGCTGAACTTGCTAAAGTCGATAGTTGTCTCTGTTCATGGCATGATGTAAACAAAGAAAAGGTATACTTTTTGTTTCACAATTCAAGCTCACAAGAATCCACAAAGAAAAATCGTTATTTTAGTTTCAACTTTGTTTCAATTTTCAGTGGAATTACAGCCCTGCTTTGACTTTGTTTAGTACGCCTATGTTTTGTTTTGATAGCAGCTGTTGATTTATTTACCAACTGTACAATGTCGGTTGCAAACACCTTAAGTCAAGTTTTCATTGTACAGGGTGTCCCTAAATAGTATTTTCAAAAACCTACTACATATTCATCAGACCAAAACAATTCAATACAAACAAACTTACCTCAGTACAAAGTTGCTTAGGTTGGGCGCTAGATGGCTCTGAAATTACAATTTTCAAATCGATTTTGCTTCAAAACTTTGAAACGGCTCATGAGATTTGACTCAAATATGGTACAGAATGATTCACCATGAATGTCTCTAGCTAGTTATTTTTTAACCGATTGCAAAATTTTAAATACCATCTAAAATGATTTTCGATAGAGTTTTTTTCCGGTACATCAGAAAATACAAGGTGATTGGAACAAACGATCTACAGGGTATTGTTTGATTTTTATGAATTGACACCCTATTTCTCATTGTATTTCAAGATTTTCCCTGAAGAGCTGATTTCATCAATGTCTCACACTTGGAGTCTAGCGAAAATGATTGAGATATAGGGTGTTCAAAATCGAGATTTTTCTAATTTAGGATTTTTCTGTGACGAAACTATACATTATCGGTCAAAACGGCTTTTATGTCCGTATCTTAACTTAAGATTCACTATCTACTGACATTTAATGAATGGAACAGATACAGGGTGATCAGAATTCTGAATCCTGAACCACACTGTATATATTCCAATTAAATGTCAGTAGATAGTAAATCAGAAGTTGAGATAGGGACATTAGAGCCGTTTTGACCAATAATGAATAGTTTCGACACAAAAAAATACTAAAGTTGAAAAATCTCGATTTTCAACACCCTATATCTCTGTAATCACTCCCGCTAGACCCCAAGTCTGATACATTGATGAAATCAGCTCTTCAGGGAAAATCTGAAAATAAAATGAAATACAGGGTGTCCCATTTGAAAAAATCAAGTAGTACTCTGTAGATCGTTCGTTCCGAGCACTCTGTATTTTCTGATGCAACGGGAAAACAATTTAGAAAAATCATTTTAGATGATTTTTCGAACTTTTAAATCGGTCGAAAAATAAGTGAGCTAGAGGGGGGGGACATTCATGATTAATCACCCATATCATGATAATGATAAATTTCATTCCATGGGCGTAGAATTTAATTTTTTTAGTGAATAAACTCCTAAAACTTCTACGCCAATAGAAAGAAAGTGGTTTGAATATGAAATTTGGATTGAGCAATTTGTTTACTAGAAAAAAAGTACTCCTGATTTAATTCGATTACTTTCATGATCTCGACAAAATTTGAATTTAAGTAATTCAAAGCATCAGTCAACACTAAATCCATTAACAAATTGTTGAATATTTTCATTATTTACACGTATACAAAGATTTATGTACTGAGTAAGCCAGAGCCGTCTAGCTCCAAGACTGAGCAAATATGTACTGAGGTGCTTGTATCCATTTTTTTTTTCTTTGTATACGTGGGAATGATGAAAATTTTGAATGATGCCTTGAATCCATAAAATCCAAATTTTGTCAAAACCATGAGAGTTATCGAATTTTATCAATCCTACTTTTTTTGTAGTAAGCAAGTTCAAACCCCTTTCTTTCGATTGGTGTAGAAGTTTTAAATGTTTATTCACGGAAAAAAGTTCTTCGCCCATGGAATGACATTTATCATTATCATGATATGGGTTTTATTGCCCAATGAAGATACCAATGTACCAAAGTCGAGTAAAATCTCATGAGCTGTTTCAAAGCAAACACGATCTGAAAATTGTAACTTCAGAACCGTCTAGCGCCCAAACTAAGCAACTTTGTACTGAGATAAATTTGCTTGTAGGGGAAACTGGGCCAGGTTTAAAAAAACATATATAGCTGTTCCTAGTTGTCATATTTTTTAGTGGAAAATTCTGAAAAAAATAGGAAATGACAGTTACTCTGTTATGTATGATTGCATATTGTTGAAATTCCGCTGAATGAAAGTAATACGGGCGAAGCAATTTTTTTGTTGGAACATGTTTTTGGTTTCATTGTACCCCATGCTCGGGCCAGGTTGTAACAGTTGATGATTTTGACTGCCTCAATATTCTTGTCGAATTCGACACGTGAATTCTCTTCAGATGCTTTATCTCCTTCAGAGGATATATCATCTCCAGATGATTTTGAAGCAAAATCTAGATCTGAGACTGAATCTTCATCTTTGGGAGTGTCATAAACCTGCGTTCAAGTTTTTTGGTGTGGTTTTGAGGGGTAATAAACTTTTTCGTGCTATGTTTTTCTGGAATTCCCAATGTCGTATCGCCCACACTATTGCCATTCAGTTCACTTGGATTCTTTGATGAATTTATTAGTTCTCCCGCATCGACTGCTGGTGTCCGTTCGGAGCTACTTGTACCACAAGCACCACCAGCTTGCTGCTGTGTGTGTTGTGCTGGTGGAAGCTTCATTCCATTCATCATTTTGCAGTTTTTATGTTCGATCTATAACGAAGTTGCACAAAAAATCATCTTATGTGAATACATCTCTATTGAAAGGAAAAATTCCGCTACGTTCGAATCCCTTCGTTATGTCTTCTGGAGTAAGAGATTTTTGATGTGCAAAACGTACACAACCTGCAACTTCGTAAATAGAGAAAGTTTTACCAGAGTTTAACTTTGTCCATGTATCAATGACAGCCGCATAAAACCGTTTAAATGGAGCGAAGCATGTTACGTCTAAGGGCTGCAGTTTGTTGCTACAATGAGGTGGCAACGTTACAATATTGACTCCATTATCCTTGGCCCTCGATACTTATATGGTAAGCATGGTTATCCATGATGAGAATCGTTGGAATCAGCTCACAAGTGAGAATCGGAAAATGGAATGAAATACAGGATGTCCCATAAGAAAATTTATACCTTTGATATGCCACGCATTTCAGTGTGACCCTGTTTAATGCAAAATATTTTAGAGCCTAAACCATCACAAAAATTTTTGTTCATCTATCTCAAACAGCAGAGCCGTTATCTCACTTTCCCACACTATTGGGTCGCCCTGTATATGATTTCGAATGTTACATGAATTCAACTGTTTCTTGAAACGATTTCAACAACCCAACAATCTCACGATTATTCGTAATTTTTGATGAGCCAACATTAGTATGAAACACATTTTCAATGATTCATAAATTAGGTTGTTTGTCCATAATTTTCATTCGTCACTGGAATTGAGCGGCGATTTGAAGAATCTGCAACTACAACGTTGTACAGAGGAAGGGCGCTATAAAGTCGATAAAAAGATAGCTTTCAAGCTGTAACAAATATGTCGCTATTCTCTAAATATCCTCGGAGCTGATTGGGTGGAATTTGTCTCATATTAATACTAAAAAAATAATTGTATTTCAAATCCTTCAATATCAAATAGAGAACGAAGTTGGTTTTTCTATGAGAGGGGCTCAACATTTGGCCACGCTTGTGTTCAGTCTTGTTCACTCGTTACTCCTCTATGGCATTGCGTTTGGAGAACCCGTTTTACCGTTTTACAGCGTTCTACAGAGTCAGAGCGCTATACGTTCGCAAGTAGTTGCGGAAATACTCCGCTGATGCTCAGCAATTAAAATTATCAACAATCATTTTAATTCGTTCAAGAATTATCAACCAACATTTAATTTCAAGTACACACAAAATCATATAAATAATTGACCAGAAAATTTGAAACTTGAATAGAAATGAAATACATTTTTATGATGATGAATTGATATATTACATTGATATGAATGTTCGGAGACTAAATTTCGAAATCTATCGAAATATATTTCGTCGTATGCTCTTTCAAATATATCAAACAATATCAATCAATAATCAACAGTAATTACACAAGTGGTGGTGATTATAAATTAAATGAAAATTACAACCAAGAATGTAAGTCGGCGTGATTATTTCTCTTTCGCAAAATGCCCAGCGAACGAACATTTTACAGCCACACATTTTGTTTTTGGGCCATTTTTGTTCGAACAGACTCATTCGTCGAACAAAACAACCTACCAACAACTCAGTCTATGGGCCCCTCTATAAACAAAGATCCAAACGTGAAAAAAATTATCCCTGTAATTTGCTATCAATAAATTATCAGTATGATACTAGGTGATTGGCTAGAATTAAGCATTGATATTGGTTGAAACAACGAAAACGTCATATTTCGACATGATGAAAAAAGAATCATATTGATTCAACAGTCATGGAAATAGGTACCGTTTAGAAATAATATTCAGTTAATCAACTATCGTTGAATTCGCGTGTAGCTTGATTTCAAATGTTTTTTGAATAAAATGGTTGTTGAAATAAGTTGACTCATATAGTTTTCTTCATTCAGCACAATGAATAGTAATTTGTCGTACTAGTCTACTATAAGAACTGTAAATAGCAATTTTAAATGTTTGAGTTCTTTTGAGATGGGCAATGACCGAAAAATAGAAGAGCCATTCTTATTAACAAACAATTTATTTCATGTAACATTCGAGATCATCCATCATATAAAACATACACATTTCACTACTCAACAATCATAATAAATTCCTTTTCAAATACATGAAACTTTTAATATTTAACGCATAAATTGTGAAGTATTTAAAATTATGTTTGTTGAAGTGATACAATAAACCAATTTAAAAATCCTACTACCTACTCAATAAAAAAGCTAATCAAAATGATTACGATGAAAATAAACGCTAAGTTATCATTTTGTTTGTATTACCATAGCATCAGATGGTGTAATATTCAACAATTTTTAGTTTTCATAAATCCAAAATGGAATTCTCAAAAGCTGATATTTCTTTTTTAGGATTATTTTCTGTTGGGAATATGTGTTTGCAATTCTGTCAGCTTAGTTTTGCATTCCTCACATTTTTCTGTTCCATAATAAGGAGTCTGTCAAGAAGAGGGTCATCTTCCAAGAGGAGTGCGACTCGTTGCGCAGAGACAGAGAGACGAATCTCAGCGAGGAGAAGAGTGTAAGCGTTACCAGCTTGGCGAGCTTGAATAACGAGAACATAACCTATATAGATGAGGGACGCGAGCTCACAGATCGCACCAGCATGGCGTTGGGCTGGAAGAAGGAGATAGTGGAGGAAATAATTGATACGATCAAGATGAAAGCTGTTGTAGAGGAAAAGACTGAAATGGGTGTCCCAGAGCTGGGAAGGAGTGATAAGGTGAACACAGTGAGGGTATGTATTTCAGTCACGGCTTGACGAAAATTATAAATTTGTATTCTTGTCCTTGTAGACTGGCAGGTAGTGACAGATTTTCTGACGTGATTTCACCCAGTATGCCCTTTGGAGAGTATTATTATGTATACAGGGTGAGTCATAAATATTGGGATATAGGCTAAGAGCGGATTGTTCGGACCAAAATATGGCGATAGGACTAAATATGCCTTGATAAAAAATTGCTGTGGAAAAAAATACAGGGCGTTTTAATCGAAAAAGTATTGACCATAAACTCACACCAAAATTCATTAACTGAGAAATGTAATTCACTAGCAACAATTATCTGATAGTCCAAAGCACACTCTTCATAAATGAAATAAAATTTCAAATCCCCTTTCAAGACGTTGAACTCGTCTTCTCGAAAACGTATGAAAATATCGTTTACAAACAAGAATACCAATATTACGTAGAAATTATGTTCATGTCATATTTTCTAAACCAAATCCATAAAAAGTTTCGTCAGAAAAAGTTATCAGTTGATTCTATCATCAGGAATCATTCACGTGCCCCCCCCCCCTGTAACGAACTTTACAATAATACATAAAATAATATTTCCTGTATAAAATTATGCCTCTGTGCCGATTTTGATAACAATCGATGAATAGACAGTAACATCATTAGCAGAAAACGAAGAAAATATTCAACTCCAACGCCCTGTATCTTTTTCCACAGCAATATTTTATTGAGCCATATTCGGTCCCATCACCATATTTTGGTCCAAACAATCTGCCCTTAGCCTTTGGCACAATAGTTATGACTCACCCTGTATATTTTGATGTCAAAATATGATTCATGAAGGATTCCTTTCTGGTTCTTCATGCATTGAAGTTAATCAACATTATTTGTTCGCAAATCGTGCGTTTCGATGCGATTTCATTGGTATGTTGTAGTTGAAAATACAAAGGCATACCGGTTGCGTGAGCCCAAAAGGTGAACAGGGTCAGATGTAGTTGCAATTGAAAAAATCAATTCTCGTGCTCAAAAAGGCTGCATTTAAGAAGTATACAATAGTATATACTGGGTGTTCAGAGATAAAACCGACAAAACTCATGGGGTTATAAGGACTGTCAATATGATTGCAAAATGCCATAAACGAATGTCCAAAACCGTTTCTTCACTGAGATACAGAGTGATTTATGGATTTTGACAAACAATTCAATGCGCCATATCAAATACAGGGATAAACCGATTAAATTCAAATTTGGTACACAGATAACACTGAGAGGCATTAATAAGTAGCCCTGTGATCGAAACCAATATCAGGACCGGAATAATATTTTTCCCCTATGTTGAGTTATTGTAAGAATAACTCACCTTGTATAATAAAAATCGAAATTTCGAACTCAGATTCGAAATCTTCGGTAAACATCGTATAGGAATTTGTTAAAGAATTTCCTGGCACTATCTTAGTTATTCCCTAATTGATTATTATTTCAATTTTTTTCATTCAAAAATCAAATATTGTCGGATAAAGTACCACCAAAATTGGTAATATAATGAATATTCACGAAAACATGACATGAATGGCGTTATTCAATCAGTTCATGAATCGGAGTATACTAAAATATTCTCATAACTCAGGACTGGAATGAGTTTTTTGTTTGTTTATGTTAGCTGACCTAGTACATCAATAATAATCAATAATCTGATTCGGAATCTAAAAAAATCGTATAAGAACCTGTTCGGGACATTAGATTAGCATAAACTAAATCCATTTTCGCGATCTGAGCATCACCTGTGATGGAGTGTCGTACGTCAAGATATCGTGACATGCGCGACAATGTACACACAGCAGGAATGCTCAGAATAGACAGACACCTCGACTCTCGCCGTATTTTCGTGAATAACGCACATTTTTTGGTGTCAACGTCGACCTTCGGGATTTTCGACACAATTTCAATATTAACATTTTTCTGGTGTGATGTGAATAATCAACATTGAAACATATCGGGAAAATCTATTCGGGGTGCCGGTCTTGTCAATGGTGGAACCAAGGAGCTCCTGAGAACATCAACCATCAAGGGCATCAGCCAGCCATCTCAGTAGCAACCGGCAGAAATTCACGAATAGTAAGATATTTATCCATTCATAAGTGATGCTCTCGATATTTTTATTGTCAATGAATACAGTCCACCGCTTAGTAGCATTTTCTTCAATCGACTTATAATTTGGAAACGAACAGAACCTGTTGAAAAAGGATAAGAGTGAAGTTTTCGTAAATTATATTTGCTCACTAATGAATTTGAATTTATGAAAATACTACACAATGAACAATAACTGTTTGTAATGAACATAACGAAACCAATGAATTCGTAAAAAACTTTCACTACCCAGTTTTACAAAACATTTTCGAAGTGGAGCCCTCCAGCATCAATACATTTTTGAGAGCATGCTATTAGATGATTCACTGACTTGCGAATTATTTGAGGGTTATTTCTAACACTAACACAGGCAGCAGTAATTTTCTATAATAAATGTTCTCTAATTCTAATTTCTTCATTATGAACTTCTTACTTGAAATGACCTCATGAAAAATAATCTAGCTGAGTTAGATCAGCGGATAGCGGTGGCCAATTTACTGAACCTCCACGGCCAATCCATCTATTGGGGTAGTTGGCATCGAGATGGTTTCTAACTGGAACTGAAAAGTGAGAGCTAGCACCATCATGCTGAAACCACATACTTACCCCAGGTATTTACACTTTGCAATAGATCCGGTCAAGTATTGACCAGGAAATTTAGGTAAACATTACCAGTTAAAGCCAATACACATACAGAATATCTGCGTATTCCTCATTAGTGAATTGAAAGGGCATCATAAATATTGTTTATTGTTTATTAAAAAACTAGCTTCCAGTCAGAAATAAAATTCTGGTATGAGGAAGTTGATTACAAACAACAATAATAAAATAATATAAGGTGACAACAACAACAAAAAAATCTGAAAAATCTAAAAATGCTAAATCGATCAAGTCATAAAAATAGCCACAGGGACTAATCAGTAGATGGCAAAGTATGAATTTTATCCATTTCGTAATGAAATCATGTGTTTTTTCAATTCAATTTCAAATTTTGAAATATGTCTGCAATTCTTTATATTATGTGGTAATTTATTAAATTCAGCTAGAGCAGCGTGAGTAAATGTTTTTTGGCCAATTATAGAAGTAGCAGAATCAAGATGAAATAAGTTTGATTGTCTCGTGTGATGACCATGAATTTCTGAGTTTCTTATCAAAATAAAATTGGATTCCAGATTATTGTTTATTATATTATATGAAACTTTAAGAGAATCTATTTTATATAATTCATCCAATGAAAATTTTTCTGTTATGGCATACAGATCATTTGTTGGGATATCAAATGAGAGGCGATACAATACTTTCAGTGCTTTCTTATAAAGTGCAGATATTTTACTGAAATAATTTTTTGAACTAGATCCCCAAACGTTTATCATATAGGTAATACGACTGAGTATATGAGAATGAAGTACTATGTTTATGATTTTTTTGTCAAGTTTAGGACATCTTCGCAAAGCTCCAATGATCGGAGATATTTTTTGTATCAGAACCTCTATATGCTTGTCCCATTTCAATTTTTCATCAATCCACATGCCGATATTTCAATTCAAGTAGAACGATGATTCAGGTGTTCATTACAGAATAGTTCAAAAAGTTCGGACGCCTCCCATGCTAATCCTATCAACTATGGATATATGCTGTCACTGACTTTTTTGTAGGAAATTTGATTGCCTAAAAATCGGTTTAATACACATCCACTTTATCTAGAAGGGTTTTAGCAGCGTTTATCTCTAAAGATGATCAGGACGCACTTTGATGACGTTAGAAATCCTATCACTCGAGTGTGTTACCACACAAAAACGCCTATTCGGTATTAATCATTTTCTGCTGAAGAGTATATATTTGAATGATAATGTTAAATTCATGAAAAAAATTTGATTTGAATATATTTGCAAACTATCAAAATTAAAAAGAACAAAATATGTGGAGTTCATATGAACACAACCTAACAAAAATAATTGAAAAAATATGTATTTCAACAATGAGACATATAGAAATGAATATAACGAACTGAATAACAAAATACCCAGAACAATGATATATGAATGAATAAGGAAAAAATTAAAAAAAAAAACGTTGAATCCTTATACACAAACAAAACCAAACAAAATAAACTGTAAAAATGATCAACATAACAAAATTAAAAAATTTTATAGATATCACAAAATGAAATACACTAATAACAAAAAATATATATACATCATCTAAATCACAAACTAAAAATTGAAATCTGAACCATATCTCATCCTGAAAGTTTAGTGATTTTTCTTTTTTAATTTTTTCATTATTTTGCAATAATTGTTCAACAGAATATTTGAAATGGTTTTAGAGAATGTTCTGCTGATTCCATCAAAAGACCCACAACTGCAACATTGATTCTCGGAATAATCGAGAAGGGAATTGATTTTAATTTCTGTTAAATTCTCCAAAACTTTATGTTGTTTCGTATTTTTCAGACACCAATATTAGTTGGTCTGAACCATACACCATTTAGAAATAAAATGAGTGATAAAAAGTATATCGCCCTTTACCAGTCCAAAGAATTACCGCGAAATCGTAATACAGCGAAATTTGGGTAGGTAGGTATAATGACTCATTTTTTACGCGCTCTATATATTTAATTTCTTTCGGACTCATTGTAGGTAACTCTACAATTTTTTCACTATTCAATTGATTCATTATCGTAGTTTGATATATTGAGTTAGTTTCATCTTATTCCAATTCCAAAAAAATAGAATTTGTAGTACAACGTCCTGATTTTCAATAAAATGGAATTTCGTTACAACGCCATAACTCGGTATTGATTCATCCTATTGGATTCATTTTTTCACCAAAAGTTGAGGAATTTGTTAGGGATCATTTCGT